ATGATAGTGAGGGGTAGCGAGTATGTCCCAAATGATCATGAGTATTCCTTTGCTTGTGCGTGCTGGTGTGCTCCAAATGAGGCTGGTTTCCCTTGCGCTGTATTCTATTTGCACCAGTTTTTTGTTCAATTGAGAAGGGCCATTTTGACTTTGTTCAATGGCTACTTGTTGTGTTGATTTTCGCCCACATCTCTTCGGCCCTTTCACAAGAGAATCTTTAGAAGCAGTCGGGGAGGCTGCACATGAACCGCTCGACAGGTGGGGAGCTGGGGACACAGGAGGAGAAGCAAGTGATCGAGGCGTTGATTAGGACATGGACATGTTTTGTTTGTTTCTGAGAAAAGTTGAGGGAGATGGTCACGTTGGAAAGGTTCGGTGATTTGACTGATGCTTTTGTTGGACTTTCCAGCAGTCTCTGCCATGCACGCAATAAATGATTGGCAATAATAATTGTTCCATGGCTCTTGTCATTGTCACCTGTTCTTGACCCACTCATTGCTTTTTGCAAGGGTTGGCAGCTTCTTTGAGCCAAAAACGCAGACAGTTGCTGTTTCCATGGCAATTGTTCTGACGCATCAAAGACCCCCTTTCCCTCAAGGTGTGGGGTGGTTTGGTTTTCTTTTGGTGTACACGTGCATCAACTCGATTGGCTTGAAATACTATGGACACCCCCCAGCCAGCAGACGATGAACGTTGCAAAGCCTGGTCGAGGCTCTTTGCGAGCTGGTTCGGGAGGCTGGCCGCCACACGCCCAGCGTACTTCAAGGTGAGGGAGATTGCAAGGGCCGAGCCTGTTTGTGGTTTCTGCTGGAGGGATTTCAATTGGCGCCATTTCTCCCTCGCAGATGAACAGTCTGAACATGGTGACGCACTTTGTTGTAATTCTGTTTTGGGGTGGACATGGCAGTAGGGCCCGTAGGGATCATAATTTACTATAGGCGCTACATGCCATCGTCCATAGCCGGGGTCGGTGCCGGAATTCGGACCTTGTTTCCAGTCCGAATTGCTACAGGATTCGCTGCCCCTTAAACCGATCATTTGGCTTGATGCAAAAACACATAGCTCTCAAGGCTGAACCAGAGGGTGCGTTTGCGGGTGCAAGTGCATTTGACAGGGCAATGCCTGGTGACTGTTTGGCAAGCAGCTGTGGCACTGGTCACTCCCCAAGCCGTGAGGGCGGGAAGACTGGGAAGCGCCGGACTGGGGCGAAACAAAAAGCGCTGGAGATGTTGGAAGTTCACCAAAGACCAATGGAGATGTTTGGTGCCTCATGCGCCAACATTCAGGAGACTTAGAGTTGAAAGTGAAGATCCCAATCCTGGTGCTTCAAGGGTGGGAGACCCTTTTTGGATGATTTCAAGCCTTCTCATTGGCTTTTCTGAGACCCTCTTGGGCCGCTGTGTAGCTTGACACTCTTCGAAATGGCATGGATCTTCTGAAAAACGGTCATTCCGACGAATGAATGGACGAATTTCAGCCACTCCAACGCATGTTCATCACGTAGTCCCGTGTGACGGACGTCACCGCGGTCACCCGTCCGTGGCCGTCGCGGCGCGACCGGGACCGGTGCCGAGGTGGCCACGCCTCAAGAGCAGCCGCCGGTGAAGACCTTGACGCTGCTGGCCGAGGCGAAGAGGAGGTAATTTGCATATAAATTAGTGAATGATTTGACCGGGAAATCAAGAAAGAGGTGGGAATTAGATGTGATGTAACTCTTCTTTCAGGCATATTGATGTTGTAGTTGACTTAAGTATGTTGATTTTGGTGGGCTAGCTACTGAGGCAGCTAGCAACTATCTTTCAGAACCGATCACATCCGACGAGGTCTGGGCTGAAAGCCCCGGGTGTCTTCCACAGACTCAAGGCGTGGTTGGGCTTGGTGACCGGTGGTAACGGCATGATGGGGTGATGACTTTCGTGTTTCTTGGGATTGGAGTGATCCCTATGAAGCTCAAGTGCAGCTGCCTCTTGCATACCTTGATTCTGCACTCGAAACCTCAAATGGAGTCGTTACACGTGGCAATGTGAATCAACTCACCAGGTGGACTCCATTGTGGAATAGAAGTGTTCACTGTAAAGAGACATGAAGCTTCTTGTTACTAGTAGTAAGAATGCTCCGTTCGTAGCGATGCCAGGAGCCCCTAGTAGCTTCTTGTTCCTAGTTTTATTCCCCACCCAGTCACGTCGTTGCAGGTATTCTTGTTGTTCGCTACCTGAGACAACCTCCTAGTGCAGTGACGAAGATTTCGTGAAAAGTCAAGTGTTTGGGGAGCATGGCGCAGGAATAGACACACCATGCATGGAAGATTCATCGACACCGGCACCATCAGGTGTTTGAGATGTTTGGGAGTGTATGTACGCATGCTAAAGATCTCAAGTATCCACAACTGGTGGACAGATCCAACCTGTAAGGTCTTCTCTTACAGTTGACAGCTGTAAATATATGACCCACTTGGGCATTCTTGTCGGTGGCATTTCAGAGGCCACCAAGTCAAATCTGAGAGGATCAGGAGGCGAGAACTCGCCCTGTGAGATAATTGTCTCAACAACGGCCCCAAGCACTTCCCTCCACTGCTAGTAACAAGAAGCTACTAGGAGCAAAGGGCATCGCTACTAGGAGCAAGGACGCTACTAGGGGCTCCTGGCCTTACTACTAGGAGCAAGAAGCTACTAGTATCGTTGGAGTTGGAGGGCCTTATTTTTGAAGAGAGGCTTTTTAGAAGAGACGTGTGGGTCGTAGTTGTGCGAAGGCCTGCGAGAAGAGTTGCGAGATCGGCTTAGAGATGTGATGCAGGTGGAGAGACGGGATGGGAAGTCGAGTGTGTCTGTCGGTGATCTTCCAAGAGTTGAAGTAGAATGTGAGATTGAGGCACTTAGAGGGTTGCATGACCCTCAATACAACACACGCAGGTTTCTAGGAATTTCCATGGATTTTCTATAAGCTTTCTTGTTTTGATACCCTATCTCGTTTGCTTGCCAATCTCGTGTATTAGATGAGACGACGACGACCGCTCGGGACGACCGCCGACGTCCAGGCGAGGCTCGGGGAGTGGTCCCTGGGCGCATTGCATCTCCGCGCCATCATGAAGGCGCCAGCCGCGGGCCGCGGGCAGCGGGTGCTTTTCAGGGCAGCGGGTTCCTGGCACCGGTGCCAGTGCGGTGCTATACGTAGTGTTCAGCTGGATGGTTGGATGGCTGGACAGTGTGAAGGAAGTGGATGGTTGTTGGTGGTTTTGAAGCAGAAAAGGCAGATGCAAAAAAGCACCGGGAAAGAAACAGTCAGAGATCCGCGGCGAATCCCAATATGTCTCGTTTTTGTCATGGTAGTTGTCATGGTCTATTTGTTCGCTACTGAGGCCACAAATAAGGCCCCAGGTGCCAAAAAAGATACAGATCTCCTACCCTATCGGAATCTCTTGCTGTTTGTGCCCCAGGCCTTGATGGGCACGGACGCACAGCCTTCGGTCGGGTGGGGAACCGGGGCATGCTGCAGTCACAACCTTCTTAGGCCAATCTCTGCATAAACCGCCGCCTAGGGATTTGAGCCAAGAGTCCTGACTGGCATGTATACGACTGTTGTATGACTGTTTTCCCTTGAGTTTGATAGCAATGCCTGAGCCCAGTGTAAAACTTTGCTCACGGGAAGTGTGGCCTGGAATGCTTGCTTTCATGCCTGTCACTGTAAACCCTAAACAAAGCTGGGCAATGATCGAATCTGATTCTGACTGCTTCAGCAACCCTTCGTCGGAGCATCACAAGGTGGTGTGTGAACCGTCACAACCAACCAACCACATGCTTCCCGGCACACACAAAAGACCAAGCCACCAAAGAAATTCCAAGTCTTCGCTCACTATCCCCGCTGACCTCGATCGGATGAGGTCAGATGCCGCCCAGCGCACTGGGCATCTTGATGCCCGCCGCCCGGGCGCTCTTCCAGCACGGCGCAGCGGTCGCCAGCCCTTCGGCGGAACAAAGCGGTCGACAGCAGCCAGGTAGGTCGAATGCGCTCTTCGTGCTCTTCGTATCTACTACAGTAGTTCCAAGTATAGTCAGTCGAAGATGTGGTCCACTGGGTAAAACCACAGGCAGGTCTGCCAGAAAGTGCCGTAATCAGCAGAAAGAAAAAAGCAAGACCAAAGCAGGTTCGCTAGGCCGGTACATATTCACTCGCAACACGGTGCTATACCAGGCAGATGCACCATTTGGCCGTGTATTTTCCACATCGATAGACTAGATGCACCATTGGGAGGACATGATATTTTTCTGCAGGGCCATGCCGGCCATGCATGTTCTTTTCCTCTCAGCGACCGAGATCCGAGGTGGTTGGGCCACCCAGGCGATTCAGGGGAACTTCCCACCGGGCGTCAAGGAGAGAAATTGCATTTGCACCTTGTGGAAACGCCAGGGGGATGGACGGATTTGGAAGAACCGTTTGCAGAATTACCTGGGAATTTGAGATGGCTATGAAAGATCATGGAGTATGGTGAGGATGGAGGGAGGTCCTGGGTTTCCTTTGTGATCGTGTTGGAAGATTTCTCATTACTCATGGGTTATCGTCATTTGATTCATTCTGATTTCAATACTAAGTCCTACATCTATTCGATTGAGCGAGGTTATGAGGGTCACCCCATCGTGAAGTCAGGGAGGATTTCCGTGGCTTCTTTGATTCCTTCTTGCTCAAGCTTCACGGACGTGTGACTCGAATGTGAAGACCTATCAGTCACCGCCAGTGGATTGGCCACAAAGAAGACACACCTTGCAGAACTTGACAGTGCCGACATGTTTTTTTCTTGGGGGAATTCTGGAACTCTCTTACAAAGGATCAACGGAGCTTTTTTAAGCCATTGGCTTCATAGCCGTTTTCCCAGCCATTGGCTTCATAGCACCACCACTGGCTTCACCTGCTCGTTCATCCCTCCAGCGGTCTCCGCGTCACTGTAACGCCCGACAGGCGCAGCGCGCCGGGCGCAGCGCGGGCGCACGCGTGGCGGGCGTGGCGCCATGGCGGAGATGGTGGCTCGCCCCACGGAGTATATGCCACTTGGAGTGCAGTACTACTAACAAGAAGCTATTAGGAACAAGTGCATCGCTACTAGGATCAAGAACGCTACTAGGGGCTCCTGGCCGTACTACTAGGAGCAAGGACGCTACTAGTAGCAATACTATAGCCTCTATGATGACATTGTTGGTTCGGGGGAGGCTGGAGATGGATGGGGCGAAGCGATGATGAGAAAGACATGAAAGATCATGAAAGTGCATGCGGTTAATAATGCTTATCGATGAGATTGTAACATGATAGTATGCATTATGGTCCTTCTCGTACCCGAGTTTGAGTACATGTGCAGAATTGATGGTTCAGCTTGCTTTCGATTGGGTCCCTGTTCAGCTGTGCGTGTGCTCCCAAACAACTTCCAGACCGTGTTGCTCGGGCAATTTGACCCTTTTGGCCGTTCAACCACCCGAGAACCACAGCCCTCTCACCACTCTCCCACCGTCCCAACCGTTGGACGGTTGCCTTCGTTGACGCCGTGAGGTATCAAGATCCTCCCACCGTTTTGGTGTGCCTCTGGTGCTCTGGGATCTTCTGTGCCACGGTCACCATCGCCATCACCGTCTACAACATCCGAAGCTGGTAGAACTCTCCACAAACGTGAGTGATTGTTTCTACTAGCTTCTTCTTGTTCCTAGTAGCTTATTATTATACAGAGTCAAAACGGGCTACCTGAGTTGACCAGAGAAGATGAACGGAATGGACTAGGAGGGAGGTCAACCTACCAGGGATTGGTTTTGGCCCGTCGGGGGGTGAGTTTTCATAGAGGGAAGATTCGGAATCATCAAGCCGTATTTGTTGCAGTGTTCACCCTTGCCTCTCAGAAACCGAGTCCTGACATTAAGCGATGTTCCAATCCCAAGACTATTCGAACTGTGAGTTCTTTGCAGTTTATTGGTCAAGCTCCTAGTAGCGTCCTTGCTCCTAGTAGTACGGCCAGGAGCCACGTTCGTAGCGTTCTTGTTCCGTTCGTAGCGATGGCAGGAGCCCCGTTCGTAGCGAACATTGTTCCTGTGGCCTAAGTGATGCGAGCGGAACATAGCTTTGTCTTGAGCCTTCGACGTAGTCAGGCAAGGACATCGTAATCAGCGAGAGATTTTGCAGGCAGATTACGTTCGAGACTAATGCAAATACATATGCTCAACTGTTGTTTCCTTCATGAAGAGCTGATCTGACATGTAGAGGTCCTCCCAGCCTTTTGACCACTGGCATTTGGGTGCCATAAGACTGTAGAAGATGGCAAATCCAATCCCAATCAACAGGTTGCAAATCACTAGGGATGCACCAACACTGACGTCAAACAAACGCAAACGAAGCAATGCCACTGGGTTGTGACCCAAGGAAGCCACTATCACTCTGCACGTGAGCAGGGCTTAGGGTGGCCCGGCTGCAATCAGGATGTGGCCGTGCGCACTCCCGGGGAGCACGTAGTGATCAGGGCGGATGGGCCAACCATGCATGTGATCTATCTAGTAGCATCCTTGCTCCTAGTAGTATGGCCAGGAGCCCCAGTAGCGTCATTGTTTCTAGTAGCGATGCCAGGAGCCCCTAGAAGCTTTGTTGTCACTAGTAGTATGGCCAGGAGCCCCTAGTAGCTTCTTGTTCCTACCCGGCTTTGAAGTTTCGAGATATCTTTTCTTTATTGCACCATCCGCATCATTGAATCCCCATCAATCCCCATGTTTGGTCCAAAAGAGGCGTGGGAAGGCTGAAAGCTACTGTACCTTCCATTCTTAGCACCAGCGCCATATGGGGAAGGGTTAAAGCCTGGAGCCCTGGCCACCAAACTGAGAGCCATGTTGAACCATTTTAGATCTTGGCCTGAACAGCAATTTGTTCCTGCCATCACCGATAAAGGCAGAAAATCCAATGGTAGAAGCTTTCCTGCCGGAAAAATCCCTGGCTATGAATTCTACCTCGAAAATCAGGTGCTGTTGAAACTTGCATGTCTTTTTAATGCGGGTTGCAAAGACATCCCCAATGGATGGTCCTTTGCACTTGACAATCTTTTCTGATTGTCTCTTTCATTGGGTCCTTTGTCTTCACATTCCAGAGAGGGTGTGAAGGCCAGTCTGTCTCGCTCGACTCCGACTGGCAACGCGGCGTATAGCCTGGAGCCCTGGTCCAGGTAGTTCGTGCCCGATTGGTATCTTGGTGCCATGACCCACTTAATCTCAGTCAGGTTTTGATCCAGAGCAATATCCTTTCCCCAAGGTATCCTGGTTTTACATATCTCAGAGGGTGGGGAACGTCAGGAAAGACGCTACTAGGGGCTCCTGGCATCGCTACTAGGGAGCAAGAACGCTACTAGGAACAACGAACAGAGTGGAACCTAATAGCAATGTGGGGAAGGCCGAAGACTCCCAGGCATCACGAGATGTTGCCGTCCTTCGGCGCGCGGGCCGACCGCATCATGCAGCAGCTTGGTGTGAAACGAAGTGATTCGGTGATTGATTTCCCTGTCCCAAAGCAGCTACCGCAAAAGCTCATTTCAGAATGAGTTGCTCTGTTGAGGAAGAAGGTCAGACTCTACAACCACAGTTGTTTTTCAAGATTGTCAAATCCCAAGTCAGTCCTTCAAACACGTTCCAGTCACCAATGATACCATCCCTGGTCCGTATCTTTGGTCTATGTACTCTGGCTCGTATCTTCATATCTGGACTCCCAGATCCTTCACGGTGTTTCATCCGGAAAGCGCGAAGCAGCAACACTTGGAGATCTCATGCGTCTTGAAGCACGAGACAGGCTTCAAAAGCCAAGACTGACCATGATGGAAGCAGCTGACGGCATGAAGATGGTCCAAGATTGCCAAAAGAATCAGATCAGAACCAGGTCGCGACAGAAGAAGGCGCCCGTTGCTCGTCATCGTGAGGCTCCTGCTGGTGCCCTTGGTGGGCGCTTCCACTGCAGCGCTGCAGATGTTCCTGCCCGGTGGTGCTCCGAAGCTCAGAATTCTCCGAGTGACGGGATGGGAATGAACTTACAGTACTCAGTACTTTGTTTTTGTTGATTTCATAAAGACGCTGCGAACCGGTGAGCCCTCCTTTATGGGGCAAAGAGGAGGTTTGTTGAAGGTAAGATAGATGGTCTATGGTAGTTGAGAAGGTTCGGGAACATCAGAGCTTTGATGCTCCCCTGAAGTGTCCCATAAATTGTAGCTGAATGCCCCTGTGCTTGAACATTTGCGAAGAGGCTGCAACAAAGCAGTTCTGTCAGTAATTACAGGATCTTGTACTCATGCATGGTCACACTTTTCTGGAGATGGTCGTGAAAGCTCAAATTCGAAGAGAATCTCGGGGCCTTCTTGGGTCTTCATCGCTGGCTGGAGGGCTGGTTTGGCACTTGGCCAAGCTGCTCCAAGGATTCTCTCCTTCTTGCGTGTCTACCAGTGGCTGGGTCGAAGTCTGAACCGGAAACAGTGAGTAGTGGGCAACATGAAACAACAGGGTGCGATACCTGTCACTAGTATGTCAATATGTATTGATCCAATTGATCTTCCCAGCTTTCTGTGTCACGAAGCTGCAAGCAGAGCGAAGTCTTTATGCAGAGCTAAGCACACAACGGCACTTGTGGGCCGCAACGACCAAAGGCCCTGAGACCACATTGGCGAAAAAGAAAGCGAAATGAACAGGTTGCCAAACCAAACCAAACCAAGATGCTCAAATCACTCAAATCCTTCTCATCGGGACAATGCCTTTCAAGCATCGTCTTCTTAGTGCACAGTGGCGCACATGGTCCGAGGTTCACACGTGCCATGCAGGACCTGGTAGAGTTTTTGTTTCTGCTGAACGGCAGCCAGCAGCACATCTTGGATAGCTTGCCCAAGGACACGGGACGCGAGTCCAACAAGTAAGATGGACCACTGAGGATGCAGTATCTTCAGATATAGTTGTGCAGCATGTTGTCCTTCAACAATACTGTGGTTGTGGACCAGAAGGGTGGAGACTCGCACAAGACCATGGAAACGAGAGTTTCCAAATTGGCAGAGGCGAATGGACAAATTGGGTCAATGACAGGGGTGATTGATATAACCCATGGTAGGCTGAAACCAGGAACCTCCAATCATGTCAGGCTCTCATCGAGGATTACAAAGGAGTGGGATCATCACGGCCATGGATCAGTGATAAGTAAGTTTATGTGAACACATGTCACTGATCATATTACTGATGTATATCACTATATATGATGTCATATACAAAACCAGTGATATGGGAACTGTTTATGTGAACACTCTTTGGAAAACCGTTCTTCCCATCCTATTATGCTGAAACATCCAGATGGTCGACCCATCCCCCAAGTCAGCGCAATGGCCAGGAGAAGATCACCCTCTTTTCCAAGTTCCCTTTGTGTGTCTTGGATTAGTATTTGGATTCAACCATGGGATGTGTCACATTCGAACTGCCAACACTGTTTCTTTCCTTTTGCACAGACTTATGTTTCTTCCAAGTGTTGCACAAACTTCTTCACAGCTGGTTCAACCCACTTGTGGATACCCACCGGACACACGCGCCCATGCCGCATCGCCCGAGGTTGTGTTTTTGGCTGGTCTTGCTGTGCGCACCGGCCGCGCTTGGGACACTTGCGGTTCTTCGTCGCCGGTATCAGGCACCAAACTGCAGTTGCGTACGTCACATGTCAAAAAGCACAAAGGGGTAGCATTGGACATTGGATGGACTTTTTGCTGAGGCCACTTCGTTGCGCGCAGCATGGGCAACGTCACATGCAGTCACCCTCCTTCTTTTTCACGGAACGCAGGCTTTCCCGACGGAGCGTCATGTGCTGCGTGAGGCAGTTCAACTGGCTGATGCCATTGCTGGGCGTCATCAGCGTCTACATGGAATCTCAGAAACTCTGCCGCCGACTCGGAGAGGTAAAGATAGACAGACAAAGGGGTTTCTTGGATTACGTAAAGCCTTTTTCTTAGGCATAGGTCTCTTTAAAAGGCATCGGTTGGCAGGTCTCTGGAGAATTGCTCTTAGACCTGCAGGGGGCCCTCCTTGGGTCGCAGAACGTTGCATGTGACGTTCCACTCAACGCGCCTCGAAACACGTTTGGTCATGAATTCAGGTACTTTGGATAGCTTGGTTTTACTTTCCACCGTTCACTTGAAACCGTTGAACCTGTGAATCCAATTTCTGAAGAGTCGGGTTTCATGAAGTCGCAAAAAAGGCTCAGCTTGTCACCGCAACTCAGGAATTACCCTTACGATGATCCGATCGAGACGGTCTGTCGAGTCTCGGCGCAGCGCCGATGAACTGGGTGACCGATGTTCCGGAAGCCGATCGACGCGCTCCGATGAGGGGAAGCTTCTCAAAGGTGAAGAGTGCGGACCGACTGGCATTCAATTCTTCGATTCTGAACGGTGTTGGGTGCCTGCTTGGGGACAGAGCTATGACCTTCTGCAGAAGTGGTCGAGGGAGCATGAGCGCTACATGTGAACAGCTTTTCATGCCCATGCAGGTGCTTTGTCACGGTGCGTTCTTGAACACCACCCTGGCAAGTGCCTCATTGTTCACTCCATTCATGTGTGTTTCTCCAGTGCCACCCCAGTGATCCAGTGCCACCCAACATGCTCCCCACCCCTGTCCATGCGACGCCAATGCTCCAAGGGACCTTGACCACGGTGAGCACCTTCTTCGCCATGTGGGCCTTCAAATGTTTGTTGCCCTTGATGACCTACTCCATCACTGCCACCACGGTGGACCCCGACCGCATCGCTCATATGGAGAGGCGGGGCGAGACGATGCGAGATGGAAACATCCATCGATGGAAGTGGCGGGAGGAAGTGATGGCAACGTCTGCCTAAAGAGCTCGGCTGTAAGCAGAATCCAAGAAGGTCATCGGGTGGCTTTTGGTACTAAAGGAGACTAAAGGGCCACAGGGAGGCTAATGCTCACAAAAAAGACAAAAACAGGAGACCGACATTTTGATAGGCTTTACATGTTGATTTGGGTTGATAGGCAGTTGATGGATTGATGGCTGAATGTCTCTGCAAGCTTGATGGTTGGGCTACTCCCACTGTCCCTACCAGGGCTTTTCCCTTGGTATTTTCCCTGACGGACATCGCCACCGTCGCACTTCATCAGGTTTGTGCTGCTGCAGTACCCGGCGGCGAAAGTCCTGGGCACCACGGATGTGCGAAGATCAGAATATTCTTGAAAGATGATAGTAGCGTCCTTGCTCCTAGTAGCGATGCCAGGAGCCCCTAGTAGCTTCTTGTTCCTAGTAGTACGGCCAGGAGCCCTTAGTAGCGT